TCCTCAACCTCCTCCTCCTCGACCGCCACTTCCTCGACCGCCACTTCCTTGACCTCCTCCTCCTCAACCTCCTCCTCCTCGACCACCACTTCCTCGACCTCCTCCTCAACCTCCTCCTCCTCGACCGCCACCTTCTCTACCTGTTCCTCCTCATCGATAATCACCTCAAGGTTGGACAAATAGAAAATTTGTTCTTCCTCCTGCTCCTCCCACTCTTCAAAGAGAGGGGAAGAGCCGGGGGCTGCCATGGCCTCGTCCCCCACTGTGGGCGCAGGGGGCTGTGCTGTCTTGTGGCTCAGCCTCTGGCAGAAGACATCCCCGGCCTCGGAGAGCTGGAAAACCATCAGGGACTCCCGCGGCCCATCTTCCTGCAGTGCGGCAGCCAGCCCTACAGGGACAGGGTGGACATTGTCACCAGGGGCCCAGCCCAGCAGTGGGGGATTGCTCCACCCCTGGGTGTACTCATTGCTGGATCCCACCTCCCTTGTCATTTTCTGGGTCATGAATCTTTTGCACAGGGTTTTTCAGGACTTGGCTTTTACTCTTTCAACCACCAGCCCATCCAGGGCACAGCAAGGGCTGTACCCCCCACCCCTCCTCCCCAGGACCTGCTCCCCAGGGTGGCGAGGGACACTCACCAGCAGACGAGGTGCCGAGGTTCTGCCAGAGCAGGTGGTGGCAGTGTGGGAGCTGGGTGGGCAGGTGCTGCAGGAAGCCAGTGACACTATGTAGTTTCTCTGGAGGCCCTATCAGCTGGCAGGCTGACTGGCTGCCCCCTGCAAAAGGACACACCAACAACTGGCCAGTGAGCACCGATGCTGGGGCGGCAGTTGGTCCCAGTGGTGAGGAGATGTGGGCACAGATGATATCTGACCCCACAGCACCACCAAAGCCACATCTCTCACCCCAGTATTGCAGCAGCAACAGCTCCTGGGTGCAGGATGCGCCAAGCAGCACCTTATGGCTCCTTCCAGGGCCACCTGGTGACAGGTGGGCAAAGAGAGGGGGGGCCTTCATCATGTGCGGCCACTTCAGCATGGGCACCAGAGGCAACCGTTCGTCCAGCACGTACACTGAAAACTGGGACAGGAGGAACAGCTCAGGGGAGCTCACCCCAACATTCTGGGGCAGCCCGCCTCAACCCCCCATGGCCACTGCGAGCCAGGGCTGTGCCAGGGTGTCCCCACTGGCCCCTGGCTGTCCCCCCGCTGAGTCTCACCTGCGTGGTGACGAGGTGCTGGGAGGGATGAGCCCTGCCCAGGTACATTGGCAGCACCACACGCTCGCCCTGCTGGCAACCAGCTTCCTCACCCACCTTGAACAAGTCAAAGTGGCATCTCTCGGGGGCCTGCAGCAGGAAATTGGGGTGCTGTCAGCACCCTGGGCTGGGGGAACCTCTCCCCAGCCCGCTGCCAGCCCTGTGCCCACCCTCCTGGGCTCACCCGGCCATCCAGGCACCGCAGGCCGGTGCGGTCAGCACAGCTCAACACCCGCGGGTGGGCAGTGAAATTGCTCCAGCGCCAGGGCGAATGGTCCCGAAAAAACATGGTCTGGGGGTCATGGCAGAGCCGCTGAAGCCTGTGGGGAGAAGGCAGCACTGACACAGTGCAGAGCTGCCCCTCTCACCTGGGCCCCACCCAAACCGAGACCCAGGGGTCTGCGTGAACCCCCTCCTGTGCCCCATCTCACCCTGCCTCGACGTTCCAGAGGTAGACGGCTCCGCTCTGAGTGCAGACTGCCAGCTCTCCGGGGAGGTGAGGGCTGTGGGAGGGGGAGCACGGTCTCACTGCAGGGGCGAGAGCATCCTCCACAGCGGGGAGAGCTGCAGAGGCAGCAGAGCTTCCTCCTTGCAAAGCTCCGTTTGCTCAGTGCCTACCTGACAGTGAGACAGGAGGCAGGCATGTCGGTGCGGATAACCTGCAGTGGTGTGGGGGCCACCCCTGTCCTGCCTGGCACCCTCCAAACACCACAGTGATAGTCCGAGCGCACGCCAACGAAATCTGCCAGGGGACAGGAGGCTGCACGTCAGATGGCAGCATCCCAAGGGGCTCCCTGCTGCCCTTCTACCCCATGCCCTGCCCAGCCCAGGGTACAGATCCCGGGGTACAGGTCTCGCAGATGCCTCACCTTCCCCATCCACCTGGGCAGCAGGCACCTGCCAGACGCGCCCGTTGAGCTCAAACTGCACCGGGGGGCCCTGGGCGTGGGGCAGCTCCTCTAGCACCACATCCTGGAAATCTGTGGTGCTGGCTAAGGGCAGTGCAACATGACCAACATGACCCCCCCCTTCCCTCCCCAGGGCCACTCCGTGGGGAAGGTCGTTCATGGCCTGCCCTCCGGGGCACCCCCACGTCTTCCGGGGGCAGCCAGGCCAACAAAAAACAGACAGTGGGGACGGTGAGGATGTGCAGATATTGGTTCCAAAAGGGAATTGGGTAAATAGAACAAAAGATGGAAAAAAGAAATCACAGGATAGTAGCAATAGTGAAGATGAAGGTCAGCTTGCTTCCAGCTCCAAAGCAGGTACTGAGAACTTTAATGTGTACATAATAATTAATAGCTGCTATGCTGATAAACCACAGCTAATGTCCTACACAGATTGCATAGGTGGAAGGAATGTCTGTATCATGATTGATGCAAAGTATCTACAAGGTTTACAAACAAGAGATGATAGAGAAAGGAGGGGGGAAGCACAAAGAACTAGAATTACAAGCCTAGCTGGCTGGCAGCTACAATCACTGGGAGCCCCAACAGAGGTGGAGGAAGTGGCCAAGGTGAAGGAAGAGGTAAATGGAATGGAGGTTAACTCTTCAGACTGTATGTTTGTGGCTGATAATGTGTGTGCTTTTTGCAGTAAAAAAAGGCATGGAAAGCATGAATGCCCACAAGAGAAAAAAAACCTATTTGCTGAATCCTCAGGAAAATGGGGGCCAGAATCAGATGTTAATCTGATTATGTTAAGGACATCTGATACTGAATGAAGGGGATGGGGTGAGATATCAAGATCTTTGCAACTGATCCCCTGTTCCCTGGGGAACAAAGTTACAGATTTCCTAGTAGACAGTGGGCAACCCACTCGGTAGTAACTAGCTGTAAGAAAACATCTATGCCAACTGTAGGAGTCACAGGAAAGTGAGCTTTTAGGCCATTTTTAAAACTCATCAAATGTACAGTTGTAAATGCTACATTAATTCATTAATTTCTACATGTGCCAGAATGCCCCCTCCTATTGCTGGGACATGACTACTTAAAAAAATTGAGAGTGTAACTAACACTTTCTAATGAGTGTATTTAGCTACACGTGCTAGAAGAGACAGCATGCAGAGGCCGCAGGTGAATCTCTGCTTCTCCAGTGACCTCCATGGGTGGCAGGTGGTCAATGACCCTGCCATCCCACCACTGGATACAGGGGGAGGTCTCTGCTCCAGCACACCTCCCCTCCTTCCTCCTACTGACCTCTGCATTCGCATAGATGTCCTTCTCCTAACACCTCCTTACAAGTCTCAAACCGCTCTCAGGTTGCCCTTCTTAAATACAGTATCAAAGAGGCACAGCCAGTCGCTCACTGGTTTGGCCTTGACCAGAGGCAGGTCCATCATGGAGCTGGGGAAGGTTTCAAGAAGCTTCTCAGAGGGGCTACCACTGTAGCCCCTTCCCCCACTACCAAAAACCCTGCCACACAAACCTAGTACAATTGGTGAGAAGGACTGTAAAGACACTCAAGTGACTTGCAGTTGAGGGGCCAAAAAACATGTATGTCACCCTAACTGTAGCTTAGCTCTGTGTGCTTGATGGGTAGAACATCTGCGTTTAGACCTGCAAGACACTCAGAGGCTCCTTAGTGCACATCCTTAAGATCCCTGCGCTGCTGTGGGAAAAATCAAAGCACAGCAGAAAAGTATGCCTGCAAAACCCCCCTGATACACACAGGCAAAAGCAGCAGGTTCAAGATCTTTCTCCTTTTTTGCCTTTCTGGCTGGCAAGGACCAAGGTCCATGGTGCCTGTGTCCCAACTTGCACCCCTCTGCCTGGGTGCTGCTACGGAGATCTCCCAGGTTGTAAGGTAACGAGACTATCCACCGGTTTGCGGTTGTTCCAGCATCCTGCCTGTGCCAGCTCACACACCCAGAAACTAACCTTGGGATAATCTATCAGTTTTTGTACCACAGCAGTGACAGCCATTAAGTCATATTCTAATTTAGATTACATTCAAGGACTGGTTCCTCTGGTTTGTATACTGCCACAATATTGATTCCTTTTGTGAGCTGTTAGAAATGCCTATCAAGAACAAAGCAGGATTAGTCTGGGTGATACAGTAATGTATGATAATCTTTTTGACTCAACCGGAACCAGGAAATCACTGGGATCAGAATTTACATTTCAATCTGATTCAGACCTTACAATTGCAAACCGATCTGATCGCTGCGTTTGTGCTCATTTTCTAGAACATGGTCAAAAGGAGATTCCTTTAATAGGAGTACCCATTCCTGAAAATATGTCATGGCAAAAATCTGTGGAGTAATATTTCAGCTGCAATTGATAAAACTGGAAATGAGACAATGCTATAAAGGCCCTGCAAGAAGAAGAGCCAGAGTTAGCTAAAACTACTTTACAGAAAAGGATGGCTCTTGACATCATCCTGACCTCTCAAAGAGGATGCACAGCTTTAGATACAAGCTGCCATGTAGACATAGCTCAAAGTGGAAGAAGGATTTCCACTGATTTAAATGAAATTTGGAAACAGACTAATAGGCTTTATGAGATAAAAAAGGTTAATACTTCTCATGGATTCTTAGAAACATTCACATAGTTAACTTTTCAGTTCCCTGATTCAGGTCTGTGTGTAAAGAAACACTTAGTAACTTTAGTTACAATAATAACTGTGTTTGTATGCCTTTATGTACTCACCCAATGTACACAGAGATGTTGCCTGTATTTGGGTGGACAAACTGTGGGAAAGATGAGACTTAACCAGATAAATTTAAGTTCTCTAGATGGTCTCAAGGGGGGTAACTGCAGCCCATATAAACATTCCTCATCAAGCACAAGGAATACTAATCACTGGTTCCACTGTGGAAGCCTGATCCCATCCAGGCCTTGCTAACAACTTCGGCAGTAAAGAGCAGAGAGCTTGGTTAAGAGGGGAACTGCCTGCCCCAGAAGGCAACAGAGGCTGGATGATTGCCTGAGCCAAGTGAAGTCATCAAAAATCTGTGGTGACTGGGGGAGAAGTAAAGGCGGCAGGGGGAGATCGCGACCACTGACTCAATTCAAGACCGAAAAAAATTGCCCACATCAACTTTAAAGCACCAACATATTTGTGCCCCCATGTGACACATGGGTGACACCACCAGGTCCTCTGCAGGCATCTGCATGCAGAGCCCACTTGTGGGGCCGGGCGGGGGTTATTGGGTGCTCAGAAGCCCACGCACGGACGTTTGCGGTAGGTCTGAGAGGCTGAGGAGAGCTGGCTCTGGGAGGAGCGGGTGCAGAGCTGGCTGGCCTGGCTGTTGGGGGGCTCTAGATCGCAGGGGGCCTCAATCCACAGCCCCAGGTAGTCCCGCAGTGTCTTCTGCCGCTCCTTGGGGATGCCGCGGCGGCACAGGCTCTGGGACGACAGCAGGGCTTCGTCGGTCAGTAACTCTGGCACGGGGGTGTTGCCCCATGGGGAGTTCTCCAATGGGAGCATAGAGGGGCTGCTGGGGGGGAGTGGTGGTGGTGGGGCCGTATCACTCAGCTCTGACAGCTCAGACTGATAGGTGAGGGAGGAGATGAAGCTGGACGAAAGGCTGCACCAGCCCCGGGCTCGCTTGTGCCGCCGCCGCCGCTCCCGCAGCCGCTGTATCCTGTTGAACCTCGTCCTCTCTTCCCACCACTGCACCCAGTCCCCGGACCAGGCCGCCATCAGACGGCTGCTCAGGGGCTCCTCGGGACACCCCACTGGCTCCAGGGGCTGTGCTGGGGCCGGGGAGTCCCACTGCTGGATGCGGCCCCCTTCCTGCATGGCCCGGCGCAGCTGCTGCCGTGCCTGCCTGTGCAGGGCGCTGGGACCCGCTGGCGCCTCCGGCTCTTTGTGGTTTAAGAGACCATTCTCGTCAAGGAGGGGGAACCAGGTGTCCTGGGGGGGCTCCCCGCAGCCCTCCAGAAGGGCTTCCAGCCAGCAGTGGGACCACAGGGCCACGGCAGGGCCAGGCACCGCTGAAAAGGGCCAGGGGCTGGCCCAGTGCTCCTGGGGCAGTTCCACTTCCTCTGGGGCCACTGCCGCACCGGCTGCCTCCTCTGCCTCCGCCTCCACCTCCACCTCCTCCTCCTCCTCCTCCTCATCATCATCATCCTCCTCCTCCTCCTCCTCCTCATCATCATC